TGTGTGTGTGTGTGTGTGTGTGTGTGTGTGTGTGTGTGTGACTGGAAATTTCTTTTCCTGTGGACCTAGAGCGTTCAACTTGGTAGGAGTACAGGCGACAGTATGGGAATACGGACGATAAGTGATAGAGGGGAAGATGTCTATTGGAAGGAGCTGACAAAGCGCCTCAGAAGACGAGAGCCGCAGGATCCGTTACCTCCTTCAGGTAAACGTTGAAGGCGTGACATCTAGTAAGGGATGTGGATTAGAAAGGGACTGTAGATATCCAGTGATAAGGAATGATAACAACTGTTGGTGACGTGCCATGGAAAGCGAGAGTCATTAGGTCTACAACGTCTTTCATGATAACAGTGGTGCACTTTAGTAAGCAGTGTGGGACATGAAGGGACCGAAGGTGATTGGTGACAAGGACTGATAACTAGCGGGCAATGACTGACAAGGAACCTAAAAAGCTCGAGCTACTAGACAAATATTATTTGTTTCGAAGAAATAGTTATAATTGGCCGATCACCACCACTTTCTCAAAGAAGGAGGGAAGGCGAACCAACTGGTAAGTTCATAACACCTGTTTCCTCGGAGCTATAGGGTTAAAATTTAGGATGCAGACGGTAGGATGGGAATGCTAACATTGAAGGAGCAGGACTAGAATCCCACGAAGGACAGGGTTCACCAGAAGGTAGTCCCCTTGACCATCAGGCAGTTGGAAGGGGTACAGGCAACAGAATGAAAACACTGATGCTAGACGGCAGTAAGGGCAAAGCGTGAACGATAAAAGCATAATCTGAGTAAAACTAAGTAGCATATGGAATCGCTGTGGCTCCGCTCATGAAGTATGTGTGTATGTATTTATGTATGTATGTATGTATGTATGTATGTATGTATGTATGTATGTATGCGAGCGTGTGGGTGGGAGTGTGGTTCGACTGTTTATCGGAAATTCATAACTTTTGTTTCCCTGTTTCAGTGTATCCGAGAGGGATCTTATCCTCAGACCTTTTTCAACACGAAAAGAAGAGCTGGGTTTTAGCATAGCGAGTGATTTGATTGTTGATGCGATTTACATGAATGGAAGTGACAATAATGGTGTTGTACCACAGCCGAGAGAATTCTAAACTGGTTTCACTGAAGTATTGAATTATGCATGGAATTTCGTGGTTACAAATGTTGAGTTCAGTTCTATGGATGGATAGCTATCTGGTTTTTCCAACACTTGGAAGGAAGCACCATCTGCAGTACCTAGTGTCTCGTTGATTATCGATCTGCTTGAATGGGTGCATGCAACGGTTCCATTCATCCCTTCCGCGGAGTAGTCTAGGGAATCGTTCTCACTAGAGAAGCATGTTTCAACAAGATTGAATGATATGTTTGGCTCTCCTGTTTGTCAAATACCCGGCGTATTCATTGAATTTCCTGATCCTTGGCCCTTGATGGAGTTTGGAACTTCTAGTTACCCCCTGCAGTTAGTCGTTTTCTCTTACAGAGTTATCGAAATAATATTATTTTGAGGTCTCATGGAATGATTTGTGATACGTATTTCAAGTACTGAAAACGAAGCTTCAAATAAAGTTTAAGATTTGCAAGCTTTTATACGAGAGGTAAGGTCCCTCATATGTTCGGAGACTAAATTTCAACTTTCTCGGGAGTGCAAAAATTTTCCATGTCCGGAAAAAGGCTAAACGACGGTGGACTTGGGAAAATCCAAACGATCGAACGCCTGCGCAAATAGATCACGTTCTCACTAATCGACGCTAGAGTCTTTCTGATGTAACCGTGTGGTCCATTTTCGACACCAGCTCGGATCATCGCCTAGTGCGCGCGAGAATACGACTCAACAAGCGAATATTCAAGCGTGACACGCGCAGGCCCGCACACTTCAAGACTCTCTACTCTGATGCAGGGCTACTCGAATCTGTCATTGGAGCTTACGATTGCCGTCTTTTACAGGATTCCACAGAAGATTACGTATACCTAACAAGAGGCTCGCTTAGGTGTGCAGACATTTACTTCCCCAACCAGCCCGAATTCCGAGATTGCCGTCCCACTCTTGGAAAAAAGAAGAGCACTCAAAAAGGATCCTGACGTCAACCACCTGGAAAAGGTCCTTGTCGACGACAGTGTGGCTGCTAAGGAACCTCTCCGGGAGTAGAGGAGAACCAACATACTTAAAACAGCCGAAGCGAGATTTAGCATCAAGCGCTGCGAACGAGATCTCAACGTTTAGAAAGCTGTTATGTCGGCACTCTTGGACAAAAATAGAAGCATAAAAGACTCTAGGAGTTCTATGGAGAACATCTTTTAAGTTTTCTACACCAAACTTTTTCGTTCCTCCATATTTGTGCCTGAATGCTCGATGCCGCTTTAGAAAGAGCCGCCCGCTATCTTAGAAGCGGAGGTGGCAAATGCGATAAGAAACGTACCGCTCTCCTTCTTGCGGATTACTTCAATCGCTAATTGAAATTGAAAAGGATTCCAGAGCAATAGAAAGAATCAGGGACCTTCCTCTCTCTCGAGGAAGGTCAGCGGGAGGACATCTTCAACTACCGTCCCATCAGCCTATTATTGATGGGATACAAGTCCTTCACGAAAGTTCTGCTCAATCGCATGGAACGCATCTTGAATACCAGGCAGTAAAGCAGACCGGATTCAGAAAAAACTTCTCGTGCATGAACAACATCCAAGCTGAATTTAGTCACAAAAGATATGTCACAAAACCAAAAGGAATCGTTTTACTTTTTTGTGCCTTGAAGCTTACTGCGTAACGGTCGTAGTTTAATAGTAAGAAATGAACATTACTCTCATTTGGTTATGGTGAAATGTCTTTGATCGGTCGCCATTACTGCATTTACTCGTCTTATTGAATGAAACATTTTAGAGAGTCAGTATTTGATCATGAATACCCTTTTGCTTTCTAAGGCCCCTTATCAGTTCTTATCAGTTATTATCTGTTCCTGTCACAGAGTACCTACGACCACGACGCATCCCACATTGCCGTCATTGAAAATGTTCCAGCGTTGACACGAAGACGATTGCAACGCTTGCTCGCTTGTTATTACGTTACCAGTTGGGCTATACACGCTAACGCGCGCGTCACTTCAATTAATCTGAGTACGCAGTGCTACGATTATTTAGTCAAAAGCAGCACTCGACAAAGAAGTTACTTTAATGATTGACTCACAGAACTTTACTCCGTAGAAGGGTAAAGGAGCTCATTCTATCGCTGCTAGAAGTTGGATGTGCTCACCACCTTTATGAGCAGAGTCTCTAGAAAAAAGGTCTAGTGACTCTTCAAATTTCAAGGAGAAGCAGACTGCAAAAATAGGTGTTATGTAAGGATATGTCGTTAATAGAGGCTCCCAGATTATTAGCGGTCGGATAAGTTCTGCCATGAAAGATATCAAAGCAGAGAGGAACCGTGACCCTCTATTGAATCGCAAAGTTCGCTGAGTAGCGGTCGTAAGCAAAAAGTGAACCAAATTTCATAATCGGTTCCTATCAGTGCATTCACCCTTCTTGTCGAATAAAACATATCAAAGAATCAAAGCTACATCGTCAATAAATAAGCATTGCGCTAGGATATAATTGGTGTTTGGATCTTATTCTCTAAGCCCTCTTCTATCGTCGGTGTTCCCATCCTGCCCTCTCTACTCCTATTGTTCATGCTCTTCAAGTCCACGGGATCAGGAGTTTCGCTCAGATATTTATTTCGCTGAAACCCTGTGGGCGCAGTTCGGCTCTACTACCCAACATAAGTGTTCACGTATTGCCGCCTGTACTTCTACCTAGTTTGAACACCCTAAAGCCAAACTGACAATTTTGGCGCAAACCCCGCAACCTGCGGACGCGGTCTGGTCCTGCCACCCGCCATAAATGATCCCTTCCTGCCTCCTGCAATCCCACCTGATTTGAACGCTCTAGGTCCACGGAGACAGGAGTTATGAATTACCGTGCAAATAAACAAACAAACAGACAGACAGACAGACGCGAGCGCTTTATACATAGTAAGGATTATTATGAGCTATGAATTTGCAACCTGAAATTTCTAACGCACATACACACATACACACACATACACACATACACACACATACACACGCACACACACATACACACATACACACATACACACATACACACACGCACACACGCACACCCACACATACACACGCACACATACTCGCACACGCACACATACACACGAACACACACGCACACGCATACACACATACACACACATATACACACGTACACACATACACATACACACATACACACATACACACATACACACATACACACATACACACATACATAAACACACACGCACACACGCCCACATACACACACACATACACACATACACACATACACACATACACACATA